TCAGCAGTAATAGCTGAGTGTTTAAGATACTTTCCAAGAAAACTGGAGACAGATTTTAGGCTTCTCTCATCCAGAGTGTGATTTAACCTGCATCTGTCTGACTCCTAACATAGTGCTCAAACCACCACTTAGCAGTGAGACATTACACAGAGCTGTCTCTGGTGTTCTTTTGAGGCTGGCCTCTTGGATTTCCAAGAGAGGGCTATATGTATGGACAAAAACAAACTTCTTGTATAAGTGAGTGTGTCTACCTGAGATGCTTAACTGCTCAGTAGACTGGTCTACTGCACAGTAAAGCATCGCTATGTAACTGAGCACAGCAATGAACAGCACATTAAAATAGGCTAACGTGTGGTGTTCTACCACCTGTTTTTACAGGTAGTAGATATACTACAAATTAGCTAATGCACAGTAGTGCGCGGTTACATAGCTGACTGGGAGCAAGTTGCTCCCAGTCAGCCCAGGCAGCAGAGGGAAGGACAGCTGTCCTCTACCCCAGGAAGCTGCCTATTTCCCAGCCCCTGATTGAGGCAAATTGGAGCTGGGGCTGGGACATTGTCCCCTTCCCCAGCAGCAGACAGCTGCTGGCCCTGACTGTGAGATGGAGCCAAGGTTGGTTCCAATCTCAAGCCCCAGGATCAGGGAGCTACCAGGCCAGGGGAGACTGTCCTAGCCCCAGCTGTGATCTTGGAGCAGGGGTTAAGCAGCAGGCAGCTGCCTGAGACACGGCTGTGGGGAAAGCAGTGGGAAAGCTCCCCGCCACTCTCTGGAGACCAGGCCTGATTCTGGTAGCCCCTTCCAGCCTGGGGTTGGCATCCAGGGAAACCTAGAGTTTCTCTACCTGCCATAAGGGGGCAGAGCAGGGCAGGAGTAGCCCTGCCCTGAACTTCTCCCATTGGGAGCAAATTTGCTCCCAACAGGTGCATGTGTGGATGTGTTCCCAGGGAAAATGTGTCTAATACAGCCAGGCAGATGGGGCTAATACAGCCAAGTAGATGGTTAGAAAATTGTCACTTATATGCACAAACAGAAATAGAATTCCACCTGAAAGTCTCTAGTAGTTTAATTAATCTCTTCTTTATGGTGCCCTATACTGCCACTTGTATTTGTGAAGGTTCACAAGTGCTATTAGGAGGCAACAAGTCTATTTGTTCTGAGACTTTTGGGCCTCCATTCTCTAAAGCGTGTCTGAAACTGTCTCAGGCAAAACAAGATGATTAGAATCCTTTCTGTTTCTTCCTTCTGGAAAGTACAGGTTTCCCTTATTTTGTTGTAGTATGTCCACCAGGGTGACAAACCCAGGACAGCTAAGTGATATTTGAACCCTTCATAGAATTGCACAGCATCATTTTCATAGAATGATGCTGTTCCTGTGGGTTAAATCATATTAAGGTTTACCTTATTTGCTCATATGAGACCAGCAGAAAACACCTTTGCCTCTTCTCTTAGATTTTTCAATTCCTCATAGAATCAGAGAAAATTAGGGTTGGAAGGGACCTGAGGAGCATCTAGTCCAACCCCCTTCTCAAAGCAGGACCGTCCCCAATTAGGTCACCCCAGCCAAAGCTTTGTCTAGCCGGGTCTTGAAAACCTCCAAGGATGGAGCTTCCACCACCTCTCTGGGTAACCTGTTCCAGTGTTTTACTACCCTCCTAGTAAAAAAAAAATCTTCCTAATATCTAACCTAATTTCCCTTGCTGAAGCTTGAAACCATTGCTCCCTGTTTTGTCATCTGCCACGAATGAGAATTGTCTATCTCCATCCTCTTTCAAACCCCCCTGCAGATAGTTGAAGGCTGTTATTAAATCCCCTCTCAGTCTCCTCTTTTATAGACTAAATCAGCCCAGTTCCCTCAGTCTTTCCTCATAAGTCATGTGCCCTAGCCCCCTCACCACTTTCATTGCTTTCCACTGGAGTCTCTTCAATTTGTCTGCATCCTTTCTGTGGGGGAGGGGGGGGGAACTAAACACAGCACTCCAGATGTGGCCTTCCCAGTAGAGGGAAATAATCACTTCCCTTGATCTCCTACCAATGCACCTCAGTATGCTGTTAGCCTTCTTGGCAACAAGGGCACACTGTTGGCTCATATTCAGCTTATAGTCAGCTTTAACCCCTAGGTCCTTTTCTGCAGAGCTGCTGCCCAGCCAGTCAGGCTCCATCCTGTACTGATACATGGGATTGTTCTGTCTTAAGTACAGGACTTTGCACTTGTCCTTGTTGAGCCTCATGAGATTTCTTTTGGTCCAATCCTCCAATTTCTGTAGGTTACTCTGAATCCTAGTCCTACCTTCCAGCATATCTAGTACTCCCCCCTGCTTGGTGTCATGACGGCACACTCTATGCCATCTTCCAGGTTGTTGGCATTGAACAAAACCAGCCCCAGGCCAACCTGTGGGGCACCCGAGTTGATTCTGGCTGCCAACCAGACATCAAGCTATTGATTACTATCCTCTGACCCCGATGCTCCAGCCAGTTTTCTATACATATTCTTTTCTTACAGCTGTTTCATCCAGCCCATACTTCCTTATCTTGCCTGTGAGAATGTTGTGGGAGACCGTATCAAAAGCCTTGCTAAATCCAGGTATATCACATCCAGTGGTCTCTCCGCATCCTCAGAGCCAGTCACCTCATCATAGAAGGCAATTAGGTTGGTCAGGCATGACTTGCCCTTGGTGAATCCATGCTGACTGTTCCTAATCACCTTCTTCTCCAACTGCTTAGAAATGGATTCTTGAGGATCTGCTCCATAATTTTTCCAGGGACTGAGGTGAGGTTGACTGGTCTGTAGTTCCCTGAATCCTCCTTTTTCTCTTTTTTAAATATGGGCACCCATTTCCAGTCTTCCGGGACATCTCCTGATTGCCATGAGTTTTCAAAGATGATGCCCTGTGGCTCTGTAATCTCATCAGCCAATGGAAACAGCCAATCAGAATGTTCCGGGGAGTGCTGCCATGATTCCCAAGTCATGCTGAGG